TCTTTTGGGCAATCGGTGGTAGTAAGGGCGGAGTCAGAAGGAGCTCATGGGGCATGGAATCTATTTACAAAGCAATGCTAATTTTGGGTTTTTGTCACCCTCATAACGAATAGCTCCTAAGGTATCGACTCTTAGTGGAAGCGGAGACCAGCTGTTTCCAGACATCACTCCGTTAAACGAGTTTCAAATAAGCGTATTCGAACCTGCACGAACTAGCCGTGAGGAGAGTGGTTCAGACATTTTACCTTCTCTACTCGTACTGTCTCTACTCGTACTGATTAGTGGGCGTGTTTTGTGAGATGGGCGGGGTAATGAGGACCAGGGTTTTCTGATTGATGCTATCGAACTGTAATAGGATAGGGGATGTTGTGAAAATAGAAAGGAACAGAAGACCCATCTTTTCCCCATAAGAGATGGCTGTGCAGGACGACGTGCCATGGGTGCGCTTGCATACCCATATTGTAATTGATGCGTCTGATTGCCCCTTACCAGGAAGTGGGATAGTGAGAACTATCGTGGGAATGTTGAGCATCCGGATCCTTCCCCTTTCTCGACTTTTTTCTTTGAGGAACCGCGCGCTAAAAAGAGTGTTTCTAAAAATAGTAGATTATTTCAGTTGAATTTGTATGACATCTCTAAAGACTTTGTGTTGTAGGCACAGCAGCTTCATTAATGGCGGTGGTCGGATGGATGATGTTGTATTTCTGGTACGCATTTTTCAACAGTTTTGACCTGGCCAGACCGTTTCCGTTTGACGTTCGAATGGTGAACTGCTTGAACCCGGATATCGCCATGGCATACGGTGTCACACTGCTGGCAGAATACGAAACTCAAGGTGAGAATAACGATAAGAGTTTTTCATTGTTGCATTCTTTATAGCATAACCGTGGGGGGGGGGGGGGAGGGGAGGAGGGAGAGGAGCAAGGCGTACAAAAAACACCTCAAAATGACAGCACAAAGTCCCATGCATCAAGCCAAGTTAGGGCGCGCGTCAATTGAAAAAGAAATCCTTAACAGCTCAAAAAACAATCATAAGTGGCAAGAGAATGTGTTTTGAAGGCGGAGACAACGATAGAAAGGCAGCCTCTGAGAAAAAAGTGAGGTGGCCAGTGGTGCAGTATGAGGAAAAATTAAGAAAAACGGCCGGAACCTGGAAAATGGGACCGCTCTCTGCCGCTGACTTGTACCTTGGAGCGGGTCTAGTCAGCGCTGACGTCATCAGCGTTATCGATATGCTCTCTGACTCTTTCCGGCTTGGGCCGCGGTAGAAATCCGAAGGCGAGGTTAAGTCAGTCGGTGGACGTGTCCCCATAGGCCGGCATAGACGCATATGGGCGAACCTTATTAGAAATGGCTCGTCGATCCGATCCGTACCGTGAAACTGCTTCCTTTCATTGTGAATTTTTTCCCTTCCGAGCTCACAACCTTACGTATAGAATCGTCTTCTTTACACTAAGGAACGGAACAAAACTAACTAGTTTGTGTGAAACGTGCCATAATATTATTACTGTTTTCAACGCAGATTCCTGATTTACGACGGTCTACGGTGGGGAACGATTTTACTCCGCCCACACCGGATCAAAGGCTCACGGTTGGACACTGCTTTATTATGTTGATCGTTGACGGATTACTACTAATGATTATCACCTGGTACGTCGAAGCCGTCTATCCCGGCGGAGAAGGTGTGCCTCAGAAACCGTGGTTTTTCCTGCTGGTGAGTTTGACTTAACATTCATTCTGATTATTCTGTTCCCCCTAAAAAACGAGAGGTAAGTTGTTCAGTGGGAGTGGTTGACAAGCAGAGTTATTGAAAAGTTCAGTCACACTCTGCTTACGCACGTGGAATTCCATAATTTGGATACTATCAACTCTAGATTATATCATTTATTTATTTACTTATTGGTGAATCACAGAAAAATGTATGGCAATTACGTAATTCACAACCCATTGACTTATCCTAATAGATAGGTGAGATCACTGAGATAGAACTCAATAGCCTAATTAGAGAACGGGGTGTCTGACGATCAGCAATAGGACTGCTACATGACGCCATTCTATCCAGCGGAGAGATAGAGATCTCCTAACATGCCAGATGCGTCTATAGTTGGCACAAATCTTACCATGCTCCATATGCGAGATCAATTCCTGGATCAAACGCAGTATAGGCAACCAAGTCTTCCATGCTCTGAGGTGGTACCCAACTTACCTGGTAAGATAAAAACGCTACATATATATCGAATCTCCCTCACAAGTCATTACTTGAGTCAAATAGTGCTCAGAAATGCGAGCAAGATTTTGAATGGACGTAGGGCGCGTGACGCACCAAAGAAAATAATTTGGTCAACACCGAATGCTTTGAACTTTCATCCACACTAGCAATCTTCAGCATCTTATGTCGATACAATTCGCATCTCCAGATTACCTGACTTTATGCCATCATCAGGTACAAGAGAAACAAGCCTGTGAAGTATTCATTAACCACCTTTTCAGGAGGGCTACCCGGAATAAGTCAATCTTTATATCTTGACCACGTCTGAAGATGAGCATCTGCTTGACGTCGTGGCCTGAATGCACTCTGCAGTTCTTCCTGTCAAAATCCTTACTGGTTCCCATCAAGTCAAGAAAGAAGTGCGTTAGATCTTCGCAACTGCCAGGATAGTCATTCACTTGAGAAGAGATTTGTGGAAGTGGAGAAGAGCCACGAGCGCAAGTACGTCCTCTCTCAGGCTCACATTCATAAGACTCATTGGTGATGTTCCAACTTTGAGGCGACGATCAATGTGGTTGGACTATCGAAGACCTACGGCACTTCAATTTTCAAGAAGCTTTTCGATTGCCAGTTTGGAAAACTGAGCGAGAAGAAAGCTGTCGATGATCTTAATCTGAAAATGTACCATGGGTCAGATCACAGCCTTACTAGGACACAATGGAGCCGGAAAAAGCACGACATTCAGTATGCTGACAGGTATGAAGACAAATTTGTAATTGCGAACTTCCATCTAAGCATCCCTTTCAGGTGTTACTTCACCATCATCGGGCACCGCTTACATCGATGACTATGATATTAGAACAAGTTTACCACAGGTCCGAAAACAAACCGGATTGTGCCCACAGTACAATATCCTTTTCAATTCGTTGACAGTCATGGAGCACCTGGAGTTCTTCTGCAAGCTGAAGGTGAATTTACCGGTTAGCCCAACGCAGTAGTGTAATTGCCTCAATTCAATTTGATTCCGAACCAACCTTTCTTCTGGTGGAGTCTGGTGGAGTCAGACGCAGTGTCAACCGTCCCTTGTTCTAATTCCAGCAATTTCAAAAATTGCGCGGCCCTCGTCCTTGAGGGGGACCTCGATAAAACCCCTCACCACTATCACCAGAGCTTTAGAAGAGTCCTTCAAAGCGCCATCTCTTCCCATCCCCATCCACCGCCCTCACCACCATGGCAGTTTCTATCGCATTTGATTCTAAGACCACTTGACACAGGTCCAAAACCCGCCCACTTTCCTTCCAAAACGGACCGTCGAGCAAGCGGAGCTGGTAAAGAGATCTGATCAAATGGCAAATCCTCTACTCTCTCCACTTCTTGTCTACCAAAATTTCCACCAAAATTACCAGGGTCCGACAAAATACGACCTCCTTTCTCCCAGCTTTTGGCCATAACTAACCCCTAATACCCCCCATCCCAACACTTCCAAAAAAAACCTCAAATACGAACTCTCTTGTTGAGAACTGCGCAACGCATGGTTAACCTGGTCGGACGTGTGGGGTCATATTCGGTGATTTTAAGGTGGGGGTCGTATTTACAAGAAATATGGGCGATACGAGAACAATGAATTCCGAGATCAAAATAACCACATGATGATGCTAATTATTGCAAATTTTATCGTTACAGGGCCGAGAGTACTTCGAGAAAGGAAGCCATCGACATCCTCACGCGGCTAAGAATTGAAGTCAAAATGCACGCCAGAGCTGGCACTCTATCCGGTGGACAGAAACGAAAACTCTCGCTGGCCATCGCCCTTATCGGCGGGTCCGAGGTGAACACTAAACGTTGAAATATCGTACTGTATCGAACTCTTCGTTCTCTAAATTCACTCTCAGTCTTGTTCTTCTCAACCATTAAGTATTCTCAAATTTCTCAAATTGCGGAAGGGTTTCTAGATAGTGATGCTGGACGAGCCAACATCCGGCATGGATCCTGGAGCACGTCATGAGACCTGGACGCTTCTGCAAGCCGAGAAGAGCAGACGGACAATTCTGCTGACGACGCATTTCATGGAGGAAGCGGATCTGCTCGGCGATAGGTGAAGCACAAATTCTGATTCTAGAGATTGTGCGCTTATCCCGACTTGTTTAGAATTGCCATTCTGGCTCATGGCCAACTCCAGTGTTGTGGATCAGGAATGTTTTTGAAGGCGCAGTACGGTAAGTCTCTTTATTTCATAGAGAAATTCCCTCACTGTTGTAGGTTTTTCGCTCCTAGGTAAATCCGAGGCGGTCAGGGGATTCATATCACTTTCGTCTTATAAAGTCTATTGAGATTCTTGTTTCTAACTATAATCATATGCAAATGATGCAATTACTAGTGGCTTTTCCGCCCGAGGGTCTATCTTTTGGATAGCCTGATTAGATGGAATAGAATTCTGCATGGTTCGATGGCCGTAATTGAAATGTAATTGGTGGAAGTGTGTCCAGGCGACGCCATCCAAACGCCGTCCCCTGCCCGTTCCGCCAGACCCATTCAAACCACTATGTGGAAGAAGCGGGAGAGCGGTTATTTTCCGCTCACGCGGTATCGCAGCGCTCAATTGCTGGCAAAATATCAAACTCAAGGTAATTATTTGATAGGGTCCTCTAAATATGCCGATATTGCAATGCACTGGCAACTCAGGATTCGGCTATCACGTTGATCCGTGGTCTAGAGAATTCGTCATTTCGGATGGGTGGTGACTCAAACTCTGGAACTTCTTTCACGTCACGTCAGCGATGTACGACTCCAGACATTTGTTGGTCAAGAGGCGACATTCATCATTTCGGCTAAATGCAAGGCACAGTAAGAGTTTTATGATTGCAGAAGCGTTTGTATGAGCTCTTAAAGGAATCTTCCACGGACCATGGACCAGTGGGCGGGACCGGAAGTGGTTTTGCGACGAAATGCATGGTAGGTACGGATCCACGTTCATGGGAAGGTTTGAAGTGAATCCTGTTCACGTTCGTGCGTTCGACACGTGGATCCGTACCTACCATGCATTTCGTCACAAAAACTTCCGGTCCCGCCCACTGGTCCATGGTCCGTGGAAGATTCCTTTAATAATTGCTTTTGTGAAACCTTGGCTAATTAAGCATTCATTGGAAAAGGTTGCAGATGTCTGTCCATTGTCGGACCTTGTAAAAGTCCGAGCACTAGAGGATTGGGGATGGTAGGGCATGTCCATTACAGCAATGGAGGAAGTATTTCCTAAAGTGAGGCTTATAATCCGTATACCTGTCTGATCGTCTTCAAATTCGATTTTTCCGGAAAAAGAATGTGCACGGAGAACCCAAATTATATTCAGGTGGTGATCAGCCCAAGAACGTTCCGGTATCGAGAGCAGGAAGAGGAGAGCGTAGAAACTGCGGAGCTGGTTGATAATGACACATTTCTCAGACGTATGTTATTTTCCTTAGAGTTGTTCACACTCGAAGCATAGGTTTCAAAAGGCTCATTCTCTGGTAAGTTGCATATCTTATAATATTCCTACTGGTGATGGAATTCCTTGTGTTATTGCTCCTTTAATGCTACATTCACCCGCTTCTTCATGTCGCATTCCATCGGGCCTTTTCCTAGTTAAATCGGGAGGGGGAAGCGGGGATGGTAGAGGAGGGTGAATGAGATTAGACATCCTTTGAAAACTTCTCGAAAATCTCCATCAACATCTCTATCGTGGATCTAAATTCTTCAGTTTGTTCAAAACTATAAGAGAAGGGGCAGGTTTCGAGAAGTAGGAGTGGCGAAAATAGCAGCCAATGATAATCCGTTCCTGACAAATATCAAAAACCTATTTCAGCTCCTGTCCCATAAGACCACATGAAAAGGAGTCATAAGTCAGGTGCACACGTTTCGTTCGTCCGCGCTGGCACGATGGACCTAGCTCCTATGTTAACTGTTTACTGCCGCTTTTCATGTCCTTCAATGATACGGGTGGGCGGTAATTAAACTGGCCGTAGACATGGGATGTTAGTGTGGTGAACTAGCGGGGCAAAGCGATGAATAAGAAAGCGAGACAGCAGGTGACCTGAGCTTCACTACATTCCTAGCAAAAGTCGCGTCGCCATGGACTTGAACCATGTAATGCAGCGCCCATGAGCGCGACGTTTGCCACTGCACCACAAAGCATTGCTGTGTTACTTCGAAAGAATTGTAGAAAGCAAGGTAGGATCCTATGAGGGTTGCAAAACATCCTGTATCATGGAGAACTGATGCGCTACATCCAGTGTCAGGCAAGGACCGGAACACGCACTGGCAGTTTGACGCGGCGGCGGAAGGGTGGTTTTTAAACCTGGGATCATGGCCTAGATGATTGTACAGTAGTGAAATGCTCCCAGGACCAAGGAAGGAGCTATAACACGATCAATAAGTGGAACACTGCGGGGGACAGCTGATCACCTTTATTGGCAGAAAGTTATCAATATTATCGATAGCTCCAGTGGCTTTCTTGCTGCCCACACTCAACACCTTCCACGAACCCCTTCTTCCCCGAGCGCTCTGCGCATGGCAGGGATGCAGGGACGCTCAATGTGACCAATGCATGACGTGCAGAGAAAGGGAAAAGTGCATGGGGATTGAAGAGACGCAGATAGACGGCGACTAAAATGTACTCAAGGGTACATTTTAGTCGCCTCTACATGACCCTCTGCGTCTCTGCAATCTCCATGCACTTTCTCCTTTCTCTGCCAGGTTCGCCGTCTAGGCAAAGTGCCACCTTATACATTGGCCACTTAAGATGTTGCCTAGACCTCGCCCATTGCGGCAGGTCAGCGCGAGTTTCCCGCCTTTCGCAATGCTTTTTAGGTGCGGACGAAGGAGCGACGTCAACGCGACCTAATTGGAACAACTATAGATTGGCGTTTAGGAAACTTCACATACGTCCGTGATGATTGATGGAGCCGCAAAGAATGGGACGGAGCGAAATTGTCCAGCAAACATTTACGATATGCTTTTGCTGTAGACGGAATAAACTACATAGCGCAGATGTCGTTATATGCGCACAGCTCAAAAATGCTGCTTATACCATTGCAAACCTGCTGACACGGTTTTTGCAGTCAGCTGTCTCTGTTTTTCAAAACCGTTGAAAAGACAAATTATTTGCAGAGCTGAGGGTCGCAGAGCATGTCAAAGGATTTCCTTACTACTGGCAACATGTTGAAGCAGCATGTTCTTAAACGTACGTCTTTTTATCGAAATGGATAAATGTCGCCATGCCCTTTTTTTTCCCAGGTGATGTGATAGGTGTCGAATTTAACCCCAATTCATCATTTGTTGTCAGCGAATACAAGAACAATCAGAAATCGTACTGGTTGATACATACTTATTGCGGATTTTCTCACAACTTTTATTCAGAAAATTACGAACATCAAAAATAAATTGCGGAGCATAATCACCATAAATCAAGAATGCTTCCCGTATGCTTGGCGGTCGGCCGATTCCACGGTGAAGAAATCACGACTCTTGGAGACGATCCACGCTCTAATATCGGCCACCAAATCATCCAGCTCGTCGTAAATTTTGTTCGTTTTCCACAATTTTTCAGCGACTGATTGAACTTGCGGAGCTTTGGTCGGTAAAGACGTCCCTTTGAACCATCTCTCACCTTGAGCCATCTTTCAAATTGGCTCCCTGCTGATTGCTCTCTCTCTCGGGGAAAACTTCGTTGAGATCGCAAAATGACTCTGCCGTTTCCACATGATGATTTTAGAGATGGTTCCAATCGCAATTATTTGTTATGTGAGAGCATGAGGAATTTTCGTGAAAAATATAAGCAACGTTATTCTTTCGAGAAAAAAAAATCCGCGAAAAAATCGCAATACTTATGGCATAAAACCCCAGTATTATATAGAGACTAATTTCTTTTTTTCTTTTTTTTCTTTTTTTTTAAATTAGTCATGGCATTTGCAAGGTAGCTCAGTTATGATCCTATTTTTCCTGAACGCCTCCAGGAATGTCAAACAGTGTGAAGAAATGGTCCCGAGTTTGATCCCCGGTGATGACTAATTTTTGCAATATAGTTTGGCGCCCCAGATTGCGCCAAATGGCGCCATCGTCGAGAATAGATGTCATTGTCGTGGGCAATTTGGAGGCGCCAACATAAATTGCAAAAATTTGTCATCACGGAGGATCGAACTTTGGACCATTTCTTTCCGCCTTTTTGAGGGCGTTCAGGAAAAATAACCATGGTTCTGTGTTCCTCACATGAGCCTCTACAACAATCAGAAACCATTTCAAAAAAAGGGCTCCATGTCCTGAAAGACCCCCCTTGCTAGCTCAACCATTTGGTGATTTGGTTCCGAACAGCAGGGGACAATCTGATGCAATTATGTTTTGAGCCCTATATTTCTCACAGAAAGGATTCGATCCCCGTGCCGTAGAGGTGTGGAAGGGTTACAGTGGAAAGTGGCGCTGATGGCCGCGCGCACGGTCTATGAATCAAATCCTGGACCCCAAACAGGATCATGTCAAATAGGTCTTCAATCCTACCGGGGTCGGTTATTCGGTACCAGACTTGTATAGGAGTAGAAAAAGTTTTAGTTGTACATCGGCCGGCTGTCCCTCCCACCCCCTCCTGTAAGTTTATAGGCTAAATCGCATTGAAATGCCATTGCGATCGTCATGGAAGTAGAATCTGGCGAACCCCAAAAGAGGCTGATCAGTGTCGAATTTTTATTTCCTCGTCCCCAATCAAAATGGCGTAT